TTAAATAATGGGAAGAAGTTTGATTAGTAAACTAGAAGGTTTGGTAATTGCAGTAGAAAATTTTGAGGCATTGGAGGGGATTAAAGAGATAGGGCTTTTCCACACCAAAATAACTGGTTAAAGAGAGAGGGAGCATCTTATCCAAATCAGTTATTAAGGCTCAAGAGAGAGCGGGTAGGCTTAGAGAAGGAGGGAGCACATTATGGAAACCAGTTATTAGGAAAAAGGAAAGAGAATAGCAGCCTTAGAGAGGGAGGGAGCACCTATGCATGGCTCAAGAAGAGAGAGAGTAGAGCTTACCAGTGAGAAGCATCCATTTGGAGAGAGAGAAATTGGCGGGTTGGTATTTTTTTAAGCGGGGATAGGGAAGAAAGAGACGCACTAAAGATTTCCCAAATATTACCCATCAAATGAAAAATGACGAGTTGGCATTTTTTTAAGCAGGGATAGGGAGAGTGTAGGGCTCCAATGAGAAATGTCACTTTGGAGAGAGGGAAAATGGCAGGTTGGCATTTTTTTAAGCGGAGATAAAGCAGAGAAAGACATGCGCGACAGATTTCCCAAATATTACCCGTCAAAGGGAAAATAACGAGTTGGCATTTTTTTAAGTAGGGATAGGGCAGGAGAGATGGGCACGAAAGTTTTCCCAAATATTATCCGTCAAGGCGCATAATAGATTTTTCACCACTCACTGGATGTAATTGGTTTCCTGTTTTTTGGAGAAATCTCAGTTAATCTCTTTCCATTTCCTTATTATTAAAGTATACCCAAGGAGTGGAAATGTCATATTTCCTTGTAATCTATTGTCATATAATAGATTTCCAGGTACCCAAACGACCCCTAGATGAATGTGCGACTTATTTATACAAGATGCAATTTTGTGAAAATTAGGAGATAAATTGATATGACAACTATGTGTTTTCATTATAGGCGACGGGATATACCGATTTGAGCTTTAAAAGTGAGTTTTGTAGCAGAAAGAAGGTTTAGGACTAAATTTTCTGAGCAGATAAAAATGTTTACAAAAAGAAAATTATCTGGTTCTTTTTTATTTTATTAGATGGTTGTTTGGATATATGGAGAAAGATTCCTTGTAAAATTGTATTTCCTTTGAAATGCAATTCAAGAAAAGCATTTCCTATTTTGACTGTTTGGATGGTAAATGGGTGTATAACACGTTTCAGGTTTTTTTTTAAAAAAAATTGTTAAATGAGATCATACATAACATCGAGGATGGTCTCTTCGAGATATAGTCGTGCAATGTAATGACAGTAACCTCCAATAAGGTCCATAAGGATGAAGAACTTGTAGGGGACAAGATTTCTCTCGGGTTTGATGATATATCATCTCTTTCATCTAATGAGGGACCTCTGTTATTAAGCCTCCCATGAAAAGAGCGAGCAAACGCCAACAGGTTGGTACTAATCCCCATGTCACTTATAGCATCGCTAAGGCACAAAAGACCTCATTCGTGCTCACTAAGACTCCAACATTTCCTTTTGAGTTGCTGGAATCTATCATGCCGGTCTCAGACAGTGAATCCACAGGGCCATTGGAGCAAGAACATATTGCAAATGTAATGATGGATGGAGGGAAAAATAACTCAGTTGAGTCCGAGGAGTTGGTGCGTCTAAGGGCTATGTTGGCCCAAAGAGAAGCTGAACTCCAAACACAGGGTGCTGAACTTGAGGTGCTAAAGGCAACCCAAGTAATTGACGCGTCAGCGATCCTTCAGGACAACAGTCCTCAAACCCAATCATGGAAATCAGTCGACTCGTGAGCCAATGCCGCAGTTACTCCCATGCCTCACAAATACTGCTTTGACTACTGAAACGATGTGCGACCTGGTGATGGAGAACTTACGATCATTGCATCACCCTAGTGTACGACCAATCGATACCAATCAAAAGCTGTATCTAGCATACATTGACGAAGTACCTTATCCTCTGAGGTATCAACACCCCATGTTTCCAAAGTTTGATTGACAAGGCTCCCCTCATCAGTACTTGGCCCATTTTGTGTCAATATGTGCGGACACAGCCAATAACGAAAACCTTTTGATGCAACAATGCATTCAGTCATTATCAGGGCCGGCTTTTACCTGGTATTCATAGCTACCTGCCGGGACCATATTTACATGGAGGCAAATGCAAGAAACATTCTTGACGTGCTTCCATAGCACAGAAAGAGACGTTCATCTATCTGAGCTTCTTAAGTCGAAACAAACGGACCATGAACCGGTGCAGTAACACATTGCCCGATGGCGAAACCTTAACGTGGGGCAAGCGACCCCACTTCCTGAGCTTCAAGAGGTGCACATGTGCTTCAAAAACATGAGGCTAGAAATCATGATACCCCTGCGTACATCTAGCCCCACGACGTTTAATGAACTTGTGTCCACCACAGTGAACCTCGAAAGCCTCATGGAAAGCTTTGGACTGGGCCCGAAACAGGTGATCATTAGAAGGGAGCCTGATAAAGGCAAAGCCAAAGTTACTCAGGCTAAGACTTCTATGACTACCTCTGTAGTGGCCCAAAGAGGAAGGAGAAAGAATTACCTACCTCCCAAGGACTATAGTACCACCAAGCCATCAAGCTGAGGACGAGGGGGACAAAGAGGGAGACAAAGGACACTCCACGAACGTTTTGGGAATAAATATTCTTTCGACAGGAATCAGGTCCCCGAGATAATGGAGAACGTCTTAGCAACTATGACCATTACACTCCCTCCACCAAGGTATCCTGATCAAGCCGGACAAACTGATCAACCCGACTACTATGTGTATCACCAGATGTTAGGACATGTGGTAAAAGAATGCTTCATTTTGAAAGATATCATTGAGAATCTTATCAAGTAGGGAAAGGTCAAACCTGATGACCAAGAGGCGCCAACCTCGGAAATTGAAGCAACTAACATGGCGTCTCTGGTGGCTGATGAATAGAGACCCTTGGAAGCTGCGAAAAATTCTTTACACCAAGGCCCTTATGCCTTCAATAAGGCCATGGTAACATACATATTTGACCAGCTCCGTACTACGCGACTAATCACCCCTTCGAGGAGAAAGAAAATATCAAGACGAAAATTTACCTCGAGAGGTTGTCGATACCATGACTCTCATACTAGAAATAATAATTCTAGTAAGAAAATATTTTGATTATTAGTTTCCATTGTTTTTAGATTAAACACCTACTTGCATCCATCTTTAAGACGGAAGCTTTACACTTTTTGGACTACATATGTAATCATTCGGTCCAGCCCGCATGAAACAATTTTTCATGTCTAAAAGATTCTAAAGCTTGGCACATCCTGATTGAGAGAGAGAGAGAGAGTAGATGTTCCTTTGGACGGTTAGGAAAAAAAGCTATTTGTCTCAAATTGAAGTCAACCATGGCTTGATATCCTGATCGAGAGAAAGAGAGAGTATGCGTGCGTGAAAAATTAGAAAAATATTATAATTTACATAATAAAAACAAGCATATGAGTTGGAGGATGCATTCTTATATTTGAGTTCCTCCATATATCAAGCATCTATGTTTAAGATGGATGTAAAGTTGTGGTCCCTTTTAAAACATTAAAATCTATTCGTACAAAAATGTTCTCCACAAATGATCAGTTTGGCTTTTATTTTTCCTTTTACATATTAATGATCTCCATGTTATAGGCTATATATATGGGTGCAGTTTGTATAGAGCCTAGGCTCTAAACAATCAAATTAGAGCCTACCTTCAAATAGTGTCGAGACATGTGGTTTCAATATTGAAAATCTTTGTGATAGCTTTAAAATATATTTTCAAATTTATTGATACAGTTTAAAGCTTCAAGAATAGTATAGATCGATAGATCTATAAAAACTTGAAAATCTTGAAAATTGACGGTCCAAAAATGTGTTATAAAATAAACTATTTTCAAAACTTGAAATCCTTTTTTTTCTCATGTCCATACATATTGATGTCGAGATGATCAATTTAAGGATATTTGAGCATTAAAACAACGTCTTCTAGTGAAATTTTTGTGTTAGGCTCCAATTTGATTGTTTATAGCCTCACTCTATATAAATTTTTCCGTATATATATATATATATATATATAATTAAAAAAAAATGTTTATATAAGGTGAGGTCCTAAACAATCAAATTAAGGCGCACCTCAAAAATTCATCAGAAGAAGTTGTTTCGGTGCCCAAATCTTCAAATTGATCATCTCAATCTCAATATCTATAGACAAGAGAAAAAATGGACTTCAAGTATTGGAAATAGTTCATCTTGTAATGCATTTTGTAGACCGTCAATTTTCAAGATTACCAAGCGTTTATGGATCTGCTTGATCCACACTATTTTGAAGCTTTAAATTTTATAATTAGATATGAAAATAAATTTTCAAACTATCACAAAGATTTCTAGTACTGAAATAACATTTTTGACACTATTTAAAAGTGCACTTACTTTGATTGTTTAGGGCATCAACCTTATACAAACCAAACCCATAAAAAATTAGGTCTAAGTTCCATCAAAAAAGTAGATTAAAAAAAAGGAGGCCACATATATGCGAGTCTCCTTGACAAAAAGGAGGTAGATTCACAATTTCTAAATATGTAGGTAAAGAAAAAATCGAATTCAAGCTCACATTAACAAACCCCATTATCTCTCACCTTTTTTGAGAAAACTGAGAGGGAGCTCTCACTTTCATATATTCTTGCAAGTGTAAGTTACGTATAACACGTGCCATCGACAAATCCATACCAGTTAATAAGGGTGCCAACGGGCTGGGCTAGGGCTTGACTGGCCTTGGCCTTAGCCTTGACCCAGCTTTTTTTCTTATAAAGCCAACTCATATCTAACTTAACCCGTTAGGCCGAGTCAAGCCAAAAATAAATAAAAATAAAATTAATAATAAAAAAAAAAGCTTGGCTGGCATTGGCCCTAGCTTGGGCCACGGGCCACTATAGACTTAAAGTCCATGCTTTTGGGGCCGGGCTGATGAGCCTGTTGCCAGCCCAAAACTTAGAAGCTCTCTCTTTGCATTTCGATTTCAGCGTCACACCTCCACCCTCTCTACGACGTCCCTAGCAGGTGTTATTTATTCATTGGCTGTCAAACCGATTTCACAAGCTTTCCTCCGTCCGTCCTAATCAAGCTTTTCCCCTCTTCTTCCCAATAAATCGTCGGACCCAGTTGAGTCAGTCACCTGACCATCTTTCTCACCATTTTCGATAACTTCTCTCATTACCTTTTCTCTCTCTCTCTTCCCCCAAATTAAAATCAATCCAATTCTGCAATTTCCCCATTTTTCTTGGAGCAGGTCTCCTTCCCCCACTTCATCTCTCTCTGGATTTTTTTTTCCTCTCCAAATCTGATCTCTCTACGATTTGATCAGCCATACCCACTTTTGGTTTATATTTGATCTCACTTTTTCTCTCCTCTTCCGAAATGGCCGAAAAGGTTGATCATAAATAACTCATGCCTTTCTCTTTCTTCCTTTTCGAAGTTTCTAGAATCGGCCGGATCGACTTGAAATCGGCTGAGTTTCTCGGCCTCGGCCTATGGGCGAGGCGATTTACTTTCTCACAATATATTGATCTCAATTGTTTTTGTTCTTATGTTATTTATTTGGGTTTTTGAAGGTATACATAGTGGTCATAAAGGCCAAGCTTGATTGCCCTCGCTGCTATAAAAAGCTCAAGAAAGCCCTCTGCTGCATTCCTGGTCAGTACCCATCTCTCTCTCTTTCTAAGTTTTATTTACTATTTGTTGTGAAAAAATATATTTTGTCCTCTTTGGGGGAGAAAAAGCAAATAATTTTATGTGGGATTAAGAGTAAATGACTGGAAGGACTTAAGGAAATTCATGTCATTTACATTTGAGAAAAAGAGATACAGAGCCAGACCGTCGATGAGAAGAAAAACACGGTCACGATTACGGGGCCCTTTGAACCCAATTGCGTTAAGTGCCAACTCTGCCGGAAAGCCGGAAAAGCCATTATAAGCATCGATATCAAAGAAAAAGGGGACAAAAAACAGGATCCAGGACCAGCGAAGAAAACAGAAGAACCGAAGGCTGACGGAAAACCGCCAAATGGGGAGAAGAAACCGGTCGAGAAGGAGACGAAACCGGTCGAGAAGGAGACGAAACCGGTAGATGATGCGGGAAAATCGTCTGGGAAGGGTGATCGTGGTGGGGATAAACCTGTGATTCTGGCACCTCAGACTCCCGTTCCTCAGCCGGTTCTGATACCGGTTCCTTATCCTGTTCCGTATGGTACCGCTTGTAAAGGTCAATGTGGATGTGGTGGATGGGTGTATTGTGAGCCGGCAAGAGCACCATTTTGTGATGGACCATGTGGAGGAAGAGGGTATTGTGAAAATTATAGTTTCTTTAGTGACCATGACCCATATTGCAGAATCATGTAGAGAGACAAATACGATGAAAGAGTTTGTTATTTTTGTTTGCAAGTACATCTTGGTGTGCCCTTTACTCTTTCTCAATAATTGTGAGTCGATATTCGAGTCTCTGTTGATTTGTTTTTATGTATGTGATGACTCTTTGCAATGGGTCACTAATAGATTTGGTGTTACTTGTGCACTTGTAACTCTCTGTCTCTCTCTTTGTATTTGACAGTGGAAAAATGCTTATGATTCATGGCTCCATATGATCATGTGGCTCATAATTCCTCTCTCAGACGAGATTGTTCTAACCATTATCTTAAGCAATTTAGTTCCCATGATACATCTGGATCGAAAATCGTCCTATGCGATCTAATTCTTATGGTTCCCCAAGATCAGCGAACATTGGGAATTGGCTGCTTCTCGAAAAGGATAAGCAATTCTACTGCAGTAAATCATGTTGCAAATCGCCTCAATTTATTAGGCTATTTTGATTTGATTGTTTTTTATTCTTAACCTATTTTCATATGAGTGCGGTTTATATTGAGCCTAGCCTCTAAACAATCAAATTAGAGCCTACCTTCAAATATTGTCAAAAAATGTTAATTCAATACTGGAAATCTTTATGATAACTTTAAAATATATTTTAAAATTTATTTATAAAGTTTAAAGCCTCAAAAATAGTGTAGATCGACATGTCTATGAAAGCTTAAAAATCTTGAGAATTGACAGTTGAAAACTGTGTTACGAAAAATGTGTTACAAAATATATTATTTTTCATATATTGTTTTCTCCTGTCCATATATCTTAATGTTAAAATGAATAATTTGATAATATTTAAGCATCAAAATAACCTCTTTTAATAAAATTTTTGAGATGGGCTTTAATTTGATTGTTTAAGTGCTCGGCTCTCCAGTTTTGAGATAGGCGTTACTTTGATTGTTTAAGTGCTCGGCTCTCCATTAACTTTACCCTTTTCAGGTATTAGCTTTTATAAAACTACTTTCCTGTGCAGCGACCTAGGACTTTGTGGTGCATACAGTTAGGAGCGGTGGGCCACCTTCTCGCGATTAAGTGGCGGTCGCAGCTGGCAAGCATCCGTAATGTCTTTTATAGGCCTGGCGTCCTCATCCATGTCCTAACAAGAGCGACGTTTTCATTTCAAGGTATTTAAAAGGTGAGAGAGAAACCGCACACTCAATTGATATTACATGATTTTATTTTCTCATTTGCCAAGTATTTATTATCGCTTGTCGGCGGCACCGTCCGACTTTTTCGGATAGCCTCGATTGAAAGACTGCCTACGTTTATGGACGAAAATGAGCAATATATTTATTCCTAGGCTCATCGCCATCCAATTTTTTCAACATACGGGCAATCGCTATGGCTCTCGTAAATACGCGAAGCTTTTTGATGTAAAACCACGACAGACATAACATCTTCGCGGTAGGGCGGAACTATTACTTTTAATAAAATAAATAAATAAATAAAATCAATAGACAACTTACTCGGATCTTTTTTTAAATCACACGAAGCACTTAATATTTTATACCAAAATTTATAGACCAAGCCATCCAGTGACAGGCTACTTTGAGAGTTTCATCTCTATTTTTTTATCTTTTTCTTTCTTTCTTTTCTAGAAAGGTTAACCTCTTTTTATAGAGAATATATTTATTTCTTTTGTAACTCGCACATTCGTGGTCTATAGGAGTCGAGTTCCAAGTGTAACTCCGGCCTTAATTTTCTTAAGTACAACTAATTAGGATTAACAATTTATCACCAAACTGTTAATCATATGCAATGAGCTAAACATGTCATTAATGACTTATATAATAGGATGTCATCTAAGCACTTCCACAATTTACAAAAAATCCAAATACACCTCTGGGTTTTCCCTCTAGTGATACATCCTATTAAAGCTAAAAAATGGATCCATATATATGGCATGGCCACATATTAACTACGTGGGATTTCACATATACTTCAATATGGCTTTTGTCCTATTATTTAAATAATCAATTTTTTAGAGAAAAATGGCATGATAGGCCATATTTCTAATAAAAACATTATTCAATTTCGCTTATAGACGTTTTCTAGAGTTTTTCATTTATTATTATTTACTACTGGTATGTCAGGTAGTATTTCTTTAATGTATTCAAAATTTTTAAACCCTTAATAACCTGACTTAATAATATAATAAATTTTTTATCTAAGGGTATTTTAGATAATTAATTAAAAGTAAAATAAAAATTTTTGATCAAAAAAGTATTTATTGACTATAGTAGAGAAGAACATCATCCTTATTAAATATGACATCACCTACCTAAAACATTAATCGTCACTATTTTTTTTATAAAAATATATATTCCACCCTTCTTAATGATTAAAAATACCTTTGTTAAAAAAAATTTATTTAAAAAAAAGTAATAAATATCCAAAAAATATTGAATATATTAAGAAAGGAAAAAGTTTATATAAGGTTGCTACTTTATATCGTAGAGCTACGGATGACCCTCAAAATCCATCGGAAAAGGTAATTTTAATGTTGAAAAACCTTTTGATGGATCATCTCGAAATCGAGATGTATGACTATGAAAACTGTAAAGATTTTAAGTCTCAGAAATAGTGCATTTTACAACATATTATCTATAGCGTCCACTTTCAAGATTTTCATATGTTTATAGATCTACTTGATTTTAACCATTTTTTAAATTTAAAATTTTATAATTAGACCTAAAAATAGATTTTGAGATAATTCTATTAACATTTTACATCAAAATTACATACCACGATAAAATTTGAAAGGCACCGTACCTCTACACCTACGGAAGCGTCCGTATATTGACTGCACCCATTAAAAAAATACTTCATGTATAAGACTATCCTACCATAACCCATTACAAATGACATTTCTTTTCCCTGTAGTATTTACCACTCACGTCCTTTTCTCTCTGATTGGATCTTATTAAGAAAATTCTCAAATTTCATAAAAGACACTAAAATTTGCAAAGAAAGGAAAAGTAAAAACACAGTTCATGTTTTGAGATAGAAAATTTATAGAATATAAAATATGAACAAAATAGAGATTTCGTGGGTTATGAATACGATGAGTTACTCCCGCCGCCCGATTTCAACAGAAACTCTTAAATACTCAATATATGTTTAGAGAGAACCGATTTTCGAGGGTTATGAAAACAAAATGGATTTTAATTGGAAAACATGAAATAAATTTATTCACCCATAACCCTCTTAGAGATAGCTATTAAACATTTATATTAGGGATCAACTAAACTTTGTGTATTTTTAAGGCCATATTGGATTGACCACGGGAGGGCAAAATTTACTAATATCTTCCTCTTGTTTGTCCAAGCACGGTACCAGAACCCAATTGTGTCGGCTTTTTTGGGAGCTTGCTTAAGTGTCTTTTTTTTTTTAGATAATGTAGTTGAGAAGGCAGACCATACTTGTTTTTTTCAATAATTCAGGAGTTGAATTTTTGAGGGTGTTAGTAGAGAAGTGTCAATGGGAATGAAAATCACTACGTGGTGATTAGGGTGTGGAGCTGTTAAAACCACGATCCTAGCCCCTTTTCCAAGCCTTTTTAAGTGCGTAAGTGGTAAATGCTACCAAACAAGAGCTATTTAATAATATTTAATATTATCTTTGTCTAAGGGCCCATTGACAATTGTTTTTGTTTGAAATATTATGTTATTAAAACTTAATATACTTTAGATAATGTTATATTGTTAGCTGTTTGGTATGCATTTTGTATCATGTGTATTAGTATTTCAATATTTAACTTTTTCAATAGATTTCACTATTTTTAGTTATTTCTAACAAAAACCGTGGGATTTTCAGCAAACTGACTAAAGTAAAACAGCTTCTCAAAAGCATAATATATATAAAAAAACTATCTATAAATTTTTATCAGATAACTTCATGATAGACACTGTCAACACAACAAATAATTTATGATCTAAATTCCCATTATTGAAACAACGAATTATCGATGATAATGAATACATCGAAATAAGCCCTTATTCTATAAGGAAAAAGAAGAGGATCCTTATTCCGAACTGGCCCTTATAATATGATTTGATCAATCAAATACATGATTACAAGGAGAATATCGATTAAGGGAAAAGAAGGAAAGATAGATGGCCAAGGATGTACTATCCATAACTCGTATGCGTTTATTAACAGTGACAAAAATAATAGTCGAGCTCTCAATCAGGAATCCGATTCGTATTTTTGCTCAATTTGACTGAGGTGTCTTCGCTGTCAAATTAGGCTACTGTTAACAAAAAAATAGAAAAAAGAAACAAGAAGAAATCAAAACAATTTGGGAGGTCCTCAAACAGTCGAACTAAAACCACTTAAATGGTTTTGATCCTAATTGGACTTGGGTATTTCTTATTCGGATCCGCAATCTCTTAACTGGTCTTGTTAACAAAATTCATGATAGATCCATGATAATGTAGGGAAAGATAAATAAAATGGTCATGTCATGAAAAATCCATGATAAAAAAAGGGTTAGAGTTCACACGATTACCTGTTCCATTATTTTCCTTCATAAAGCATTAAAAAATTTTTATGAAATCATTTTGACTCTTTTTATATCATCAAGTACATAATGAAACTATTTATTTATAGTACAAAAAAGTCATGATTATTTATATCCAACATATATAAAATTTGATGGTTTAGGTATTCTCAAAAATTTGAAAAGTTTTTTTTTGAACTTTGAACTTAATGGATGCAATAAACATAGCCACCTAATTTCACATTTTACAATCAAGATTGCATACGACGACGTTGTAGCAAAAATAAAAGGTCTCATCCTTCACTTTTCGTATTCTTACTGTGAATATTTTCCAATAAATTAGCATGTTAAATGTGGACTTTTCAACCCATATTGAATTGAAGGAAAAACAAGACGGCCCTTTTTTTACAATGATTTGTCATGTCTCTTTCTGAAATTAATCGCTTCTACCCCCACAATCTCATCTCGAGGAAAACTAGGACTTTTCATGGCCACATGTTTGTGTTGTTCGAATCTTTCTTCTAAATAAGGCTTCTTGCATCTAACTACTCGTTGCCGCACCATTTTACTAAAGATCAATGCACCATTTTAGCACAAAATATTAATGTATGAAAGATAAATGTTTTAATAGTAAAAGAAAAGTATTTAAACATGTTCTTTAGTTTTGGTACAATAAGGTTAGAAATACTCTTGTATATTAAATTTCAAATTGGGTGATTGT